CTGATCAACCTCTAGCCTCTCCCCGTCGCCGAGCGCAACCCAGACGTATCCCTTCCCGCGCGCAAAAGAACTGGACCCACGGAGCCTAGCAAACTCCGTGTGAATGAGTGCGCAGAGGAACCCACAGAGCCTAGCAAACTTTGTGTGAGTTTATTCAGAGCTCTTCCGGACGAGTACTTTCTTCGGCTGACACGACGGGTTTGCATGTTCAGAGCCTTCAGCCGGATTGGGCTAGAGTTCACAAGTCTAGAACTCTTGTCCGCCTCTCTTCTTTCCTGTCTGTAACTGCAACTTAAGCAAGTTTTCAGCCTGCACCACTGCCATCTCGGTGTAAGTAAACAATCTTTTAAACTACCGCTACGCGTCCGTGCCTAATTCCAGCTCGAAGGCCTTCCCTCTCCACCCCCGGTGTGCCCGGGCTGCTGGCCACAGCCCGCGTGCAGCGCGAAAAGGGCTCGGGTCGCTCCCGGCCCGCACAATACTCACACACACATCCCCGTGTACCTCCTCACACATGTGCAAACACAGCCACACCCCTGCGCCTCTTCACACACACACACACACACACACACACACACACACACGCGCGCATTTGTGATCAGGCTGTGTGTCCAGCTGACACGTTCATGGGCCAGCATTCAGTTCATTAGGGCACATCTGATCCGAACTGGGTCAACCAGCCTGTACAAGCTGATCCCCTTATGTGTCGCAAACTCAGCACGTCCCAATCTTTTGCCCTAACTGTCCCAGTAGTGGTAGCCTCTTGATGTGCGGACCCCACAGTATTCCTGGGCTCCACAGGGATCTTTGGCTTAGGTAAAAGAAGCGTTGCTGCAGAGCAAGTGGGGAAGGGAGGTAGAGAATGAAAAATATACCCAGTTACGAGTTTGACTATAAAAGTTATTTATTGCTAAGTATATGACATTTATAATGGTACTAGTAGTAATAGACATGCAAGGGAAAACAAACAAAAGCAATTACAATATTCCCCTGGTTTCATTGAGTATTTGGAGAAACCTAGCTTAAGCTTAACTAATACAATTCAGGTTCAGAAAGCTATGCCTAGAGAGAAAGAGAGAGAGCGCGAGAGCTGGGATCTCACCGTTCCTGTGCCCTCGGGTTGTTTGCTGAAAGGTAAAGTTCTCAGCACGATCCTTGAAGGTTAAACAGACAACGGAAAGAGACGATCTGTTTCTTCCAGCTTCTCGAGAACAATAGCGGATGGTGTTAGAGAGATTTCTCCCTCTTGAAGCACACTGTTTGCTGCTTTTACAGCTTTCTATACCCTTAGTGCAGCCTCTTCAAAGCATTCTCTTAATTGTGTAAATAATTATTTTTTCTGGTGACAAGGGGTTATCTGGTTTGGAACATCTCAAGAAACTGGTTAGCAATCAGGAAAAACATAAGGTTTTAAGGAGTAACCAGACACTTGGGAGCCAGCTTGAAATTCTTATGAATAGAAGCTGTGCTGGATGGGATACCACATTGTTTCTTCTCAGATGGCCTAGCTATGCTTGCAGCGTCAGGGTTTTGTATTTCACTTGTTGTGAATAAGACTCAGTTTAGCATGACTTCCAGATCTTACTTCATAAACTTTGTGGGGAGGACTTCCACCAGTCATCCTGGGAAACGTATGACAGCATTTGTGGTCAGGGCTCCAATGGGCTGGACATTGTGATGAACCTTTACCCATTGTTCAAAGGTTGCCCATGCCCCCTCTGACTTGGTTTCTTGCCTCAGCATTCCCTAACCCGGCAACCGAGTTTTAGTCAATCAAGTTTAAATAGTCTTCCCATACTGGGACCGGGGAATGTATGGCCCAAGATGCCTATTAAACTTTTCTTCTGCTTAGTTCTGGTTAGATGAGGGGTGTGTGTGTGTGTGTGTTTGTTGGGGGTGGGGAGGTGGAGGGGGGTGGGGATAGAAAAAGTCCTTGGTAAGTCCAGCAAGCTGAGTGCCAGGCCTCCCTCAGGAAGACAGAGCTGACAGGTAACAACACAGCCCGGTGCCTCATCTCACACAGACACACCCCAGTGCCTCGTCTCGCACACACAAACATACAGACATAACACACTGCAGTGCCTCCTCTGTCAAACACACACACATTCACACACCCCTGCGCCTCCACACACGTGTGCACACATGCACACCTCTGTGCCTGCATGCACACACACACACACACACACACACACACAGAGCCTGGTGCCTCCTCACACACTCACAGACACACACACGCATACACACTCACCCTGTGCCTCCACACATACACATGCATTTAGCCTGGTGTCTCCTGTCCCACACACACACACACACACACACCTCTGTACCTCCCTTCTTGCATGGAGGTACATGTGAGCACACACACCGCCCTCGACCCTGTGGCTCCCAGGAGCTCTGATTGTGTAGCGGGGCAGGCTGGGATAGTTCAGAGGCCCGTGGCCAGGCTCCATCCCCTGCACGAAGAGGCTGGACCCAGCTGGAAGAAACCCCCTTGTGGTGCCCCCTGGGCTCAGCCAGCTCACACAGTGCCTCCCCACTGGACTAATGCATTGTGGTTTGTTTTGTGATTCTGGTTCTGCCATTTAAGTTCACTTGTAAATAACCTTTCCTCTTATTCTTGTTTTGTAAATCAAGTGTAAATAGTTAAATCAGTTAAGTGTTAGACCTTCTTGGGATCACAGGCTGCTCTGTGGGGAGCAGGGGCTGGCTGGATAGTAAATTGGTGCTGGCCGGAAGCCCTGCCCCACTCCCGCCACACTATCCCTGATATTGGGCAGAAGTGGGAACTATTGGGCCGCCACCCGGGTTACACTTCCATGCAGAGATGATTAGTGAGATTACATCTCCCACCCGCTCTGCACATGGAGCAGCCCCAGGGAAAGCAGTAAAGCAGCCTGTGTGAGTAAGGGCTCAGCACACGGGTAAGGGCTGCACAGTCCCACCTGCACGTGCTGTGCTCTGAACAGAGCTCACCAGGGCAGTGGGGTGGGGTGAAGGAAAAGGCTCCAGGCCAAAACCTAGTCTTTGTCCTCCCCTTTCTTCTTAGAGGAAATCAGGTGGCGGTGGTGGGAGCAGCAGGCAGGGGGGGGAATGACAGGGACACTGTGCAGTTCAACAGGCACTGGGGTGGGGTCTCTTTTTAGCAAGGGCCGCACTCTTATTCTCTGTGCAGGGCCTGTCCAGGGGGGCCTGCTCTGTGCTGGGGCTCTGAGGAGCTGCTGCAGGACAAGGTCTGTCCAAGCAAAGACCCCTGTGGTGTGCAGTGTCCCGGGCTCGATGGCCTCTACACGGTGATACCTACAGAGAGAATTCATGCTTTTTTTTTTTTTTTTTTGTTCCCTTTCCCCTAGAGGTTGTGCCTTGATGGCCCGGCTGCCTTTGCTGCCCTGGCCCCTCTTCTCCGCGCCGGGCAGCACCAGGGGGTGACGTCCTCCAGCACAGCTGCACCTGGGACCAAAGGCTGCCCCAGACTGGCCCCGTGGGGTGCTGCGTGCCCAAGTGGGGCCACGGGGCCCAACAGGAACCAGTCCAGAGACCCCAGCCCACAGGAGCGCCCCAGGGCTGGGCCCAGACCGTCCCAAAGGCCCCAGGCACCGCAGAGCAGGTCGCTGCCTCCTGCAGCTCGTGTCTGACCCGGCTGGTCTCTAAGGTGCCCCTGCCTGGGCTCTGGGCGGCCTCAGACGAACACGGGGGCCACGTCTGGAATCCCTGCACCAGAGACACCGTCCCCAGCCCAGCGCCGGGCCCTGCGCCAGAGACACCGTCCCGCTCTGCGCAGGGAAGCAGCGAGGAGGAGGAGGAGCAGCGTTACAGGAGCCCTCGCGTCCCGCGTCCCTCCCGGCCCCAGCCCGCGAGCTGCCACCGCCCGGCTCAGGCCGCACGTCCAGCGCCGCCCCGGGCCCTGCCCAGCTTGAGTCGGGGGTGGCGGGCGGAGCAGGGCGGGACAGGGACCCGGCACACCAGCACCGCCCCAGGGCC